AGGACGCCGAGCGAAGGTGCCCAGCACTGGTCCTGCCAAACCGGTTCCCGGGGCTGAGGTGGCCCTGACACACCCAGCCAGGCCCAACGTGCCCCTGGTTGCACGCCCACAGCAGCACCCGGTCCACGGCCACATCTTCCAAAGAGGGAGACACCGTGCCGTGCCGGGTTTGTTTTAAAAGAAACCAGGAACTAAATCTACAGAATTTCTCGGTACTAGCTAGGCACTGAACAGAGTCGTCCCCTCGTTTTCAGGTAGACAATATGTTCATTAGCTTTTATCAAAGTTATCAAAATCAGTACACACATTCCCAAAGGTGCAGTTTTTGTGAGGCAACATACCGAGTTCCATTCTTGGTGTTTCTTGAAGGCCACCGTAACTTGGGTCTACTTAAGCCAGCACTGATATTTCAGGTAGACAATGAGTTTCTGAGATAGAGCATAAAAGCCGTTTAACATGCCGTTAAATTTTGCTTTAAAACCAGCCTTTGATATTGCTTCTATTTAAAAATAAATATTGGAAAAGTAGCTCCAAGAATGCAAGACTACCACTAGTCAGCCTTACACAACTGAAAACACATTTGAGTTCCTTCACCATAATTTTTTCTTTGTAATTAAAAATTAACTTCCATGATTACTAACTTTACTATGGACATGTGCAGTGTTAATCTGGCTTGAAAGAGTTTGTAAATAGAGCAAATCCAGATACAAAACTATTTGCTCAGATTCTGACCATCACACATGCAGCGAATTCACAGTTCTCCTTTAAACACTTTTCATACAGTCAGGCTGTGATGTAGAATCTTTACACTTGATACACATTGGCCTGTTAAGATAGTTTCATCAACTGTACTTCCAGAAGAAGAACATTACTAAGCTGAAAAAAAAAAAAACTGTGAAAATAAACCCAGAGTGAGAAGAACAAGCAACTGATTTAGCTGTAGCTGAATGACAGAGGTTTCACTTTTACTTGCTTTCCGTGAGTCAAATGTTCCAGCAAAATTTAAGTTTTAATTCTATATGGTGACTGGGTTAGGAATACAGACCCGCTGTATTCAGTACTAATGCTCCTTTTTGAAATTTCTTGTGTGTGAGCCATTCCACACTTACTATATCCACAGCTCTGAAGCACGTGAATGATCTAGGTTAGCAGTGGATGAGAATTTTTGTGTAGTGTATCTCTCTTATTTACAGTATATATATACTTTGTCTTGAATTCCTCTTTTAGATATGAATGATACTGAAAAAGGATGACATTTCTGTGAGCTTAATGTCCTTCTCTCCACCACTTCTGAGGAAAGGAATGCAGACAGTATACACATGACTGCAAACATTTATCTGTAAGGAGTATGGTTGGCCTAAGCGGGACAGCCACAGAGATGAGAACAAGACTTGCTGAGTTCATCTTATGAATCCTCAATACTCAAAAACTTAGGCTGTAGAATAGCATTTTCCTATTGAATCTGTTTCCTGCTTACACAGTCTTCACATAAATTCAGACCAAAAAAAAAAAAAACACCATATCACAGAAAATAATTATGTACTGACAGCCTTCAGATAAAACCAGTAATAAATGTAGTATAAGAAACTATAAGGAAGAGAAAAAAAAGAGGCTTCCATATTCCAGTAAATAATGTACATGGAAAACAAAATAATCTCACCAAGCACCTTTTGGAAACACAGAGAAACACCTTTCCAAAAGCTGTATTTTTACACACATGTCAAAAGACAGACAGCTGGCTATAGAATCATACTGCGAGTTTCATTGCCACATTAAAACACTCTGGAATTTTACCTTCGTGGCACTCATCAACAACTGTATGGCACTTTTTTTTTTTTTTTAAACAGTTCTCAAGATAACTTCCAAGGCTCAGCCAAACTAACTTCATTTGTTCAAGCACATTTTGCTGAGTAACGCACACGTAAAACCACACATTTTAAAAAAAATACACACAAGGTAATGCTGAGATTCTACACTTTATTGAATCAGACAGATGCAAAGTAATAAAGGGACAGGTGTTCACTTTTTGACCAGCAATGGTAGCTTAACTCATTGTTCCATCAGTTGCTTTCATGTCTTTCCTAACAAAAGCTTCCAGCTCCCACCTGTGTCCACAGAATAGCTCCCGCCGAAT